CCAGTTTTGACTCAGTATGATGTGCATAAGCTACACATCCAAAGGTTCTTAGGTGAGAATAATCTGGCATTGAACCAGACCATATTTGTTAGGGAATTCTGTTATTTAGAGAGCTGGAAGGACATCTATTGATAAGATAATAGGCTGTTTTTACAGCCTCTCCCCAGAAAATTTTTGGAAGGCCAGAACTAATTAATATACATTTGGTCCTTTCAAGAATTGTTCTATTTAACCTCTCGGCAACCCCATTTTGTTGTGGGGTATAGCTCACAGTTTTATGTCTCATTATCCCTAGTTTACTACAATATTGATCAAATTTGGTATTCCAAAATTCAAGCCCATTGTCAGTTTTTAAAATTTTTATCTTCTTACCAGTCTGATTTTCAATCAGTACATTCCATTCTTTGAAAATTACAAAGGTATCAGATTTAGATTTTAGTAAGAAAATCCATGTTTTCCTTGAATAGTCATCACTTGTAAGAAGATAATATCTGTAACCAGATTCAGTAGGAATAGGTGCAGTTCCCCATAAATCAGAATATATGTATTCAAGGACATCTTGGGATTTGTGCAGCTCTGCCTTAAAAGGCAGTTTGACTCGTTTTCCCATGATAAAATGTTCATAAAAAGTCAATTTTTGAACACTATCATTCCCAAATGCCCTTTGATATGATAGAGTTTTTAAACCTTTTCACTTAAGTGGCCAAATCTTTTATGCCATAATTCTGATTTATCGGGATGTGTGACAGAATTAACAGAATTTTTAGGTGAAATTATTTTAGCACCTATTACATAAATTCCATTGAGCTTAGGTGAACTGACAATAAGTTCTTGATTTCTTGTTATATTTGTAAAGCCATTTTTAATACCAATTTGGTAATTTTCATCATCAAGAACTCCTAGGGATATAAGATTTCTTCTAAGTGCTGGTACATTTCTTGTATGTTTTAACAACATGTGATGACCATTTTTAAATTTCAACCGCAAATTTCCAATTCCCTTCACTTGACATGACTCATCGTTCCCAAGTTTTACAAATCCTCCATCCAGACTACAAAAGTCTGAAATGCAGCCAATATTGGGTGTCATATGAAAGGAACAACTTGCATCCAGGACCCAGTCCTGATCAGTATTTTCAGATAGAGACATATAGGCAACTCCAATATTTGCTCCTGCTTCTTTATAATTAGCAGCAACTGCTAAAGAAGCATTTTCAGTGTTAGACTCTTTCTTTTGGTTATTTGCCTTCTTGAAAACAATCTTTAATAAAGTGGCTTATTTTTCTACAGTAAAAATATTTTCTATTATTGTTGCTGTTTGCTTTTCCTTTAATTGGTTTCTTGCCTTTTCCTTTTGTGTTATTCCATTGCCTTTTGTTAAAATTTTTATTCTTGTTAAAATTGGAATGACTGAAGTTACTTACTCCTTTAACATGTGGTTTTTGATTTGATGACACACTCTCAACATGGAATACTTCTTTGTGTTCAGATTTTAATTCAAGTTTTTTATTCAGAAGAGAACTGTGAATTATTTCAACGGTGAGGTCACTCCTACCATACTCTAGAGCATTTCTTATGTCTTTATATTTATCTCCTAGAGTATTAAGTAGGCCAACTACCTTCTGTTCATCAAAAAATTTCTCATCACAATTTGCTAAATCTTGTGTGATCCTATTAAATCTATCCATATTATCTCCCGTGTCAAGATTAGGATCAAATTTAAAACTAAAGAACTGTCTCCAAAGAAAACATTTATTTGGTACAGTCATAGTGAGGTAGTGTTTTTCTAAGGCAGTCCACAATTCTACAGCAGTTTTAGCTTCTCCTACATGTGGTTTAGATATGATTTTAAGCATACCGTATATGCAGCTTACTGTATATGCTGCCTATCATATATGCTTTTAATTATATTTGCACATATTGTTTTATCCATTTCATATATGCCGTATTTTCACATACCGGTTTTGCACATATCGAAATTTCAGATTAATATTGCAGTAAAATTTTTCACATACCGAAGTTGCAGAAATATACATTTTTTCCTTCAAATTTGTATTTTTAACATAAATAAAAATTAACGCGGATTAATTTCATAAACAACATAAAGAGAAGGATAACATAATAAAACTAAAACACACGAATAAATTGCAGAAATATTAAATAGTGGATGAACTTTCAACCCGAGGCTTGTGTGAGAACAATTTTCCTAAAACAGATTCGCTCCCTCATCGTAAGTGCTTGAGATTTAATTCAAGCATCTGTTTCCTAAGATGTAACGGTAAAACCTGTAGAATTTAAGCACCACAGATACTACTCCGACGAATTGACTAGTATCCGAACAATATAACCACAATGACGATGCTGAACAGAAATCAAGATGTAGACAGAAAAATATGCAGAATGTTTTTTTCCTATTTTCATCTGTGTTCTGGAATTGCTAGAGAATGAGAACTTATATAGATAACTCTGTCATTAACTCTATGACAATAAATATTGGAGTCACTTCAGGTTCTAGGAGTTTAAAAAGTTTCAGAAACTCAAAAGTCAATAGAGAAATCAAGAAAAAAATTGCAAAACGTAGATACTCCAAACGGGGCAATTTTTGTTTCATTCGGTCCTACATTCGTGCACGCAGGTCGCACCTGCATATAAGTTCAAGGTCCAAAGGTTATTTCAGTTCGTCATTTGCACCCCCTTGTGCGCGCATGTAGAAAGAGCCTCTATGTTGCACATGATTACATCCTTCCAATGTGCAACCATATTTTAAATGATTCTTGTTTTCATATTTTCCTATGTGAGAAAAACTATTTTTTTCCACATAAGCCATTTTTCAATGGTCAACTTTGATCTCCAATTTCTCATTTACCCGAACTTCATTTTTGGTAAGTAAATATATAATTTCGATACTCTCACGGAGGAGAACACGGATCAACTTTGATCTTTTAAATTGGACCAACAGGTCCCACCGAAAAGTGTGTCGAAATTGAGTCGTTTACTCATATTTTCCAACATTTCATTCCAGCAAAAATTGATTATTTACAACTATGTCATGTAGCCAAATTAATCTCGATATGATTTAATTAATTTCGAATATAATAAAAAGAATTATGTATCATGTACCATGAGAAATGCAACTCGCACCTCTACGTGTATACATGGAGGACTAGAGAAAGATGTGAGGATAAATGCACGATGCCCTAGGGCTTGAGATCCAAAGTGGTGGACTAAACAAGATATGTACAGAGGCAGTCAAGATAGTACCTTGAGTCTCTATTGATAATGAGAGTGGTTTGAATGATTGCACGTCGAGCATAAAATATGCATATTGTGCTCCTCAGTGTACATTAAAGTGAAAAGTGGTGATTTAAAGCTTGATGCACAAACAATGAAAGAATGCATAGAATTTGACTGAAACAGGAGGTCAGGTAATTGAGCAGCATGAAACTTCTTCCATTACAAACTGGATAGTAATTCACGTCAATTGAATTTATTGCTCCAAGCTATTATGGTACAAATCAATCTTAACTTATATTGATGAAAATCGATGACTCAATTTTCATAAATGTGCGGCTTCGTTGATGTTTATCTTCTTTATTTTCAGAATTATATAATTGAGGTACAATCCTCGTGCCTCCAAAAGCCTTTCACTAGTGCAGATAAATTTGTCATCAATACTTACCTCCAAAAGTAAAAAAATAGAAAAAAAAATTATATATATATGCACACACATATACACACACACACACACACACATATGTGTGTGTGTGTGTGTGTGTGTGTGTGTGTGTGTGTGTGTGTGTGTGATGCTAAAACTAATGCGTGCCCTAAAAAAGGAATCAACTTTAGTCTATAATCTCTTCCTTTAATCTACATCCATAGAAATTGAAAAATGACATTAGTGCATATTGTCTAAGATTCTAATATTTCACTAGTCAAATACATAAATTTAAAAGAAAATATTTTGCTATTTATTTGATTGTCAAATACATCAATTTTAATATTTCACTAGTCAAATACATAAACTTAATATTTTCCAAAATGTATCCATTTCTTAGTTGCAGATTGTAGCGTATTTGGTGAAATATGAAAATTTTCAATAATCTAAACTTCTGGTTAAGAGCTTTGTCATATGTACACTCATGTGGCTTTCTGTCATTGACTGGTGTAAAAAAAATATTTCAAAAGCTAATAATAGAATGCCACTTGTACATTATGTCATCCATGGTATTCACTAAAATGTACGAGTATAATAATCCTCTTATTTAACCCTTGTTTGAGCCTAATTTTTTCATCAAAATATATTTTTCAATAGTGATTTGACCCCACCCTAACCACACAATTTTTAATAAATTAATATTTCATATAAATTCACGACTTTTCTTTATTTTTCAATCACACATTTTTCATCAATACACTATTCAAAAAAATAATATATATATATATATATACAAGAATGGGGCTCAAACAATGGCTTAATTGTTTTTTTTTCTCATTATTATTTAATTATAAAATTAGCTAGGGTCCTTTGTTCATTTTAACGATTAAGGCTTTTGGCGAGATTTTAGTATGTGAAAAAAAATTATAACTCGGTGATTTAGTTTACACCAAATCACAAGTCAAGTGTATAGTTTGAAATTCAGGTATGTGGTAATTAATTAAAAATATTTAATAATTAAATATAATAAGGTCACAATTATATAATTAATGGTCACAGAAACATAATTATAGATCACAATTTGTTTATTAGTCACATATTATCAAATTAATTGATCATGAATTATGTCGAGATCACAAATCAAAAAATTTATAGATCACAATTTATTTCATTGATCACAAAACGAAAAAAAAAATTATAGGTTACAGTTAATCTGTCGATTATATATTTTCAAATTTGTTGGTCACAGATTATCGAATTTTAAGGTCACAATTTAATAATTAGTCACAAAGGACCAAATATTTAGTCACATACACCAAGTATCCAACCCCGATCCCGATCTATTGCTAATACTTGGTCACAAGCACTGCATATCTCGCCACAACACCATCACAAGCATCGCCAATAACACCAATGCTACTGCCACTATGGCTACTTGTGACCACCCTCACCTCAACACCACCACCACCACAACCACTACCATCAACTCTCCACATACAACCACTTCCAGCACTAGCAAAAAACGCACTGCTACTGTCAACACCACCGTCGTCGCCACCACCAACAGCAACCTGCACCATTACCATCACACCACCCCTATTAGACAACCACCAACACCACTACCACGATGCGGCCATCATATCTTGCACCACCATCACCATTACCACCATCACCACAATCAACTGTACAAAACCAATAAAACTCGTCCCAAATTTTCAACACCAATTCGTGACCACATTTCTACTGATCGGGACTATCAAAACTCAACAAAAACACACAATCGTAGAAACTAACCACTACACCACCACAATTATCGTCCCCACTTCCACAATAGAACCACCACCTCACCACCAACACCACAAAAACCACCAATCAGATCTTCACTGCAACACTCAGATTGTCGTGCGAACTGGGCGTCGAAGGCACAACGCGATCTTCGAAAATTAGATGACAAATGGCTGGGTCTTGTCATGCTGTGTGAACTCAGATCGTCGTGTGAATCGTGCTGTTATGCTGCAGACCGCTGGCGCAACGTCATCATCGACGATGACTCGGTGGTGTATAATAAAAAGAAGAGAGAGACGAGAGAGTGTAGTGAGAGGACAGAGAGAGTGCACAACGAGAAAGAAATCAAAATAATTAGAGTTTGGGTTTGGGGTTGGGGTGGGTGGTTGGTTTAATAATTAAATTAATACCTAATATTTAAACAAGTAAATTTCATACCTGATATATGAATTGTAAATTTTAAACACATGTTGTTACCATGTAATTTCCACTTTTAGTATTTAAGCAAGAGTTAGGACATTTGATTGTTTATTAATTAAAGTTTGGAAGTTCTTCAATTCTGCCAATTATTCAGTATTCTTAGTAAATCAATGAATATTTCACGTTCCCATTTTTTGATTGAATTAATGAATGTTTGGAGTGTTAACCATCTTTTGAATTTATTCACTGCAGCAATTTGGTATTAGTAACTAATCACGCTTCTAATAGAGAAGGATTTTTGTTCTATGTAACTAGATGGCAAAAACCATGCAATGTGATAAGTTAGAACAACTATCTTGACAAGTTTTTTTTTTGGTAATACGATTTGTATAAATGAAGCAAAAACATTGCAATTGAAGCGTTGAAGCAGCAGATCATTTGGCTAATATAGAAGCGTGAGAATGCAACGGTTGTGAAGTCGGTGATGGAGGAGAAATCCAATGAAATGGTCCTCTAAATTCCAACAGGAATTTGATGCTTATGAAGGAATAATACATATTGAACAAGATTTGTGGAAAATCAACGAGAATCGGGATGGAAGATAGTTGGTCAAAATCTAATGGAATATGTCATGGTAAAATATTGCCAACTAGAAAATTAGGATATGAATTTTGTTGGAGAAGCAGAAATTGTACCCCAAATGTTTTTAGGAAAAAATCATAATTAAAACGGTTTCAATTTACATTTTCAAAAATAAAAAACTTGTAAATTTTTTCAACAATTGTATGGTCACATTTTGTGAATTTTGATAAAATGTCGTGACCTATAATTTAATTGAATAGGTCACGGCCACCATAACACATAATTTACAATCACGATCATATACTAATCATACATAATATAAGGTTACAGTCATAAAGACAGAATGTATGTGTCACAATCACGTATTTTAGTTACAAATTCGACATTTAATAGGTCAAAAATTACTTATTAATAAAAAATTATCCAATTTACTAGTTACAATCACCCTTCATTTCGTCCCGCTTCACGCCACCATAGCCGACACCACCAAAATCCTTGCCACCACCTCCATTGCACCACCACCACCACGTAAACCTCATCCACAATCATCGGCTTTACCCGCATCTCAAGTTTACCACACAACCAACGGCACCACCTCACAAAAACTAGCTTTACCCGCACTTTTAAATCCACAACTTGCACCTCAAATCTACCATCTATTATAAAATTTGTAGCCATCAAGTTCATCATCTTTGAAATTAACCCATCAAAGCATTAAGGACATTGCCATTCCTTCCAGTCCTAATGGTATAAACCATCTTCATTTATAGATCTAGATACAGTGATGAGTCATGATAAGGGTAATTTTAACGATGATAATGGCCGAGAAGAGAGAAGACGATGGTCGGTTGATGTAGAAAGAGTAGACAGTGAGTAAATATAGAGAGAGCATACAGATAAATGATATATAATTTTTTTAAATATTAATTATTACCTGATTATTGAAAGAAAATAATTGAGTTTGAATTTTGAATTTGAAAACATGTGATTTTTCAAAACTAGAATTCAAAATGTAGGGTTTACCTCTCAATCAAAATTGCATGGTTGGCTACTATCACAAGGACAAATTCTCAGCCAAGTACTTAGCCAAGTTTTCGCCTATGATGGTATTGAGGGTTCACTCAGTAAGCCACAAATTTCCTCAAAACAAGGGACAAATTTCACAATATAAAGGCAACAAAGTAAAGAGAGCATGGTGATTTAAGAACAAACACACCTAACTCGTTTTATTACTCAACAGTAATGCAAGAAACCAAAGAACACTGAAGGAATACAACACCTCTATTGCCTAATTAGATATACAACCACAATATATAAAATTCATATTCAGTTAACACAATTAACTATCAAAGGGATAAGCTAACCCAATTCAATTAAAACTAATAGAAACCTACCTCACATGCCTTTTTCCAGCAACTGCCCATACTTTCTACATGTATGGACCAAGAAAACTACCCCAGTATATGTTTTAAACATGTATTTGTCGTGGACATCCAAATTTGTGGACTAAAGTTCACTAAATAGCAAGCTGGATCCCGTTCATGCCTTGCAAAATTCTGCCAACCCACAACACTTTGACACCAACCCAACTGAAGAAACATGCCCACAAGCTAAATCCAACATTTGCCTTGTACTCGAGACCCGAAATGTGCACCATCAACACAATTTTTCGCACAACTCCGACAAGAGGACAAGGTGTGCCCATGTCATCATGCATGTTAGCTTTTAAGGGGCTAACATCCTTTCCGACCAAAAAGAGTTTGTCGTCCGCATCAAAAGAGAATCAAGATACTCATTGAAAAGCCCAAACACAATATTAAACACTTGATACTAAGGATCGATTAATAACAAAAATTAAAACTTGCAGAAAAATAAAACTGAACACAGAGAAATTTTTCAGCCGAAACCCCAGAGGCTCGGTGACCCTTTTAACACCTAGTCCCCTGTTGAGCATCCATTCAAGAACGGATATTGCTTGATTGCACTATAATGCCTTAAACTACAAACGTTTAGCTACTACCAGAATACAGTATAAGAGACTTATCTTTTCACAAAAAACCAACAGACAAATCACACAAGAAACTGCAGATTTGACTTCACGAAACCAGAACCCTAGTTCTCACAACTACTACAGATTTCACACAAGAAATCACATGTATTCAAGATGAAACTCTCAAAGTATCATTTCGAATGAGATGTTCAAAATGTTGCCGAATCAAAAAACCCTAGTCACTTACAGAAGATGAACCCTCTCGAAAATAAGAAGCCAGAAAATATCTAAGGCCAAATGAAACGTCCAAGCGTGTATATATATCACCAAGACCAATTGACTTATCCAACGGTTTATGATGTGCCAAGTGTTAGCATCCAATGTAAAGTTCACTTTATAAATCACATTTCCATAAAACGTCTTTAGCTGAAAATTATGGGAGCACAAAGAACCGAGTTCGAGTCACAACAATCTCCACCTTGCTACCATAGTTTTCAGCTCATAGTGTAGCCAGGAGCATATCACATTCTCTTATTTCATACGCTCCAAAAGTATCTATAAAAAAAAATTACAATGTATTAATAGATAATATCTTCAGACAGTTTTTAAACTTGTTTAAAGGTATTATCTTGGTCCCTATACCAGAAGGATTACGCTGAGTAGCAACCTTCCCAATTTTCAAAATTCCTTTTGAAATTATATCCCTTATAAAATGATATTTAACATCTATGTGTTTATTTCTATCATGATATATGGGTTTTTACTAAGATGTATGGCACTTTGGTTATCTGAATATAAAGTTGCATTTTCATCAACAAAACCAAGTTTCTTTAGTAATCCACTTAGCCAAATTCCTTCTTTAAAGGCATCAGAAGTAGCAATATATTCTGCTTCAGTAGATGATAAAGCTCCAATCTTTTAAAGTTGAGATTTCCAACTAATCACAATACCACATAAGGTAAAAAAATAGGATGAAGTTGATTTCCTATTATCCCTATTATCTGCAAAATCTGAATCAGTAAATCCCTTTAAAGTTACCCCTTCTTTATTCAACCTAAACATGAGACCATAGTTAGATGTCCCTTTCAAGTATCTTAAAAGCCATTTTTAAACATTCCAATGTTCTTCCCCAGGATTATCCATAAATCTACTAAGTATACTAATACTGAATGCAATATCAGGTCTTGTGCATACCATCAAATACATTACAGATCCAATCACATTAGCATAAGGTGCATTCAACATTCTATCATATTCTTCAGCAGTTTTAGGGCAGAAATCAGAAGAAAGCTTGAAATGATTTGCTAAAGATAAAGTAACAGATTTACAATCAAGCATATAAAACCTTCTTAAAATTTTATTCACATAATCATGTTGATTTAAGAAAAATATTTCTTTTTCTTTATCTCTAAAAATCTGCATACCAAGAATCTTTTTGGTAGCTCCTAAATCCTTTATATCAAATTCAGATTTAAGTTTCTGTTTGATAAATTCAATCTCAGATTTATCATAGCTGGCAAGTAACATATCATCTACATAAAGTACTAAGTATAAAGAGTTTTTACCTCCATTACCTCTGCAGGATAGGCATATGTCATAATTGCTTCTTTGAAAACCAGGTTTTAGTACAAAGGTGTCAAATCTTTTGTACCATTGCCGTGGGACTTGTTTTAAACCATACAAAGATTTTTTTAAAAGGCATACAACTTTTTCAGAATCCCCTTTTATAAAGCCAACAGGTTGTTTCATATAAATTTTTCATCTAAGTCACCATACAAGAAGGCAGTTTTAACATCTAACTGATCCAGTTCCCATTTAAACTGAACAACAAGGGCAAGAATACATCTGATTGTGGTATACTTAACAACAGGGGAAAAGATTTCATTGTAATCTACTCCCTCTTTCTGTGTGACACACTTTGCAACGAATCTTGTTTTATATCTTACACTTTTGTTTCCTCCCTCTCCTTCTTTTATCTTGTAAATCCATTTACAATCGATCAACTTTTGATTCTTAGGTCTCTTTACCAATTCTCAAGTATTATTCATCATTGCAATTAAGAAGAGATGACATTTCATCATTCATTGCTGCTATCCAATTTTTAGCATCTCTGCAATTAATGGCATCATCATAGGAGCTTGGTTCATTTTCAAATTGTTCTTGATAGTTAAACAATGAAACAAAATCATCACAATCAAATCTAGCAGGTGTTCTAGTTTACCTTCTCTCCCTATCTCTAGTTAACTGATATTCATTTAAGGGAGGATTTGCAAAATCAGTTTGTTCATTAGTATCAGATGATTGATTGTTTTCAGTTTCAGCAGTAATGCTATTTTCATTTTGATCAAGTTCAGTTAAGGTAGGAACATGAGAATCAGTTTCACTATGAAGTTTCTCCACCTCAATCTGAATATCTTTTTCAGTTAGATTAGTCTCCTTTCCTTCTAAACATGGCATAATAGATTCATTGAAAACTACATCTCTTCTAACAATTACTTTATAGCCCTTTTCATTGTAAAGCCATAATCTGTACCCTTTTACATTTTCACCATAGCCTAGAAAAACACACATAAGTGATCTAAGTTCTAACTTTCGAGTATTCTGATAGGCATAGGCAGCACATCCAAAAAAATTTAAGTGTGAATAATCAACAGGATTGCTAGACCATACAGATTCAGGAATATCATAATTCAGAGCACTTGTTGGAGTTCTACTAACTAAATATGCAGCAGTTTTTACTGGTTCACCCCAAAATAGTTTAGGTAGACCAGAACTCAAAAACATACATCTCACTTTTTTCAACAAGGTTCTATTCATCCTTTCAGCTATACCATTTTGTTGAGGGGTATAAGTAACTGTTCTATGTCTTACTATGCCACATTCTTTGCAAAAATTATTGAATTCATAATTGCAAAATTTCAAACCATTGTCTGTTCTCAGGATCTTTATTTTGTTATCAGTTTGATTTTCAATCTGAATTTTCCATTCCTTGAAAATAGAAAAAGTTTTATCTTTTGATTTTAACAAGAAAATCCGTATTTTCCTTGAATAATAATCAATGATTAAAAGGTAATATTTAAAACTAGATAAGGTAGTAACTGAGGCTATGCCCCACAAATCAGCATGCAAATACTCAAGTATTTGTTTAGACTTATGAATTCAAGGTAAGAAAGGAAGTTTAACTTGCTTTCCTATCACACATTTTTCACAAATGCCAATTTCACCAAAATTTTGATTTCCAAAAACTCCTTTGTTTTGTAAAGCTTTTAAACTCTTCTTACCAATATGGCCTAACCTTTCATGCCACAACTTTGCAAAGGTCAAGTTATCAGTTAAAACAGCAGCAGTCAAACCAAGTAAAGGTTTTGCTTCAAGAAAATAGAGACCATGTCTCTTAGGGGCACTAATGACCAAGTCATTTCCCCTAAGAATTTTCATATGTCCTTGACCCATTTTAATGTTAAACTCCATATCATCAAGCATTCCTAGAGACACCAAATTTCTTTCTAAGTCTGGAACATACATTGTTCCTTTCAAATTTAGGACTTT